AGTTACGTCCGTACGTTTTCGGCATTAAAGGACTCAGAAGGATCCTTCACAAAGAATCATACACCCTGCTTCTGAGTTTGGAAGGACTGGAAGACTGTAAGCTCTGCTCGCTAGCCACCTCCTGCAGTTCTATAGCTAACTATGAAGTGGGTTGCTGCAAATAAATACAAAAGCCATCGGCTGACCTTCACCCCTATGGGGTGAAGCTGCATTGATTGCTTCCACTCAGGGAGAGAAGACTCAAGCCGGGAACATATGCCTAGATCTCTATGGTCAGGCTGGAGCATTCTCTCAAGGCAAATCAAGTATTCTCTAGTAATTCTGGCCCTCTAGGGCGGGGCACTGGAGGACTCTCATTTTCCTATCAATTCCCATTTTGAAACAGGAGATAAATTCCAGCATACGCTTCTGTTTTCATTATGCTGTTTTTCAATTAATGAGCTTTCAGTGGCCTTCAATTTTCAAGTTCTGACCACCCTGCCTGCCTTTCAATGTCCCTGCTTTATTTTCCACTGTTGCCCAACATGCACCTTGCCAGGCCAGTGAAAATTCTGATTCTAAAGCCTATACTCTGTTCACCAAAATTTTTGGTCTTCCACATTATTTAGTTTCCTATAGCATACTGGCTTTGACGGCATCTTTTTCTTCTTTGAGCCACTGTGGACTGAGGAAATGCAAACTGCTTTTGCTAGCAGACCAAGCCAAATACAACAAGGTAAATCTGTTATAAAAGGAGTTGCTTATACATCTGACCTTGCTGGAACTCAAGGTCCTTATGGGGCATCTAGGACTGACCTTGGCTAGAGTATGTTTTCAAAAATTTGTCGAATTCTCTAAACCAAATGGAATATTTTAGATTAGCCCCAATATTTCCCCCTCCATTAACCTACGGGGTTACTCACTGCAAGCTTCAAGGAGTCCCTATCAATACAGAAACGATAGGGCATATGGAAATCAGCCTCCTAAATTCAGAGGCCCATCTCAAGCCACTGTTCTGCTAAGATAACCCACTGTAAAGACACATCAGTGACAACCACTGCTGAGTAGGGGTGAGCATCTCAGCACATGTGCCCAGAAGACCAACCCTTTAACAGAAGTTCTGACAAATGACCCTGAGAAGAAGTTAAAAATTAGACACCTAATAAGCATCAGGTAATCCTTTGATTTTTACAAATACAAAGAAAAATATTAAGGACAAAAATCACTATTTCTGGAAACTTCCTATGACAGCAGCAAACCTAGATGATACTAATATGTACGTAACAGACAAGTGAAGCTAGACTCCCGCTGTCTGCAGCTGTTGAACTGGGGGGCAAGGATCTGAAATCTACATTCTGGTCAAAGTGAGCCACCTTACAACAGCCTCTGTTAAATGGAACATGCGTTCACAACTGTCTTTTATACACACACAATATTTCTTTTTGTTTTTCTTAAGAGTTCATTTTTCAAAACCGGTCAAGTTGGGTGGGAGAGCCAATGTCTTAGGCTTAAGTTTTAGTTTTGCCTTTCTTTACAGTCCATTTCCTGGGGCCAAGTTGGTTAGGGGTTTTGTTTTGGGTTTTTTGTTTGTTTGTTTGTTTTTTAGTATTCAGAAACATATGCTACTGTAGTTGCATGTTCAAACACCCATGTGGAAATAGTCTCCTGGACTTATACATTCATTCTTAAAAGACTGGAGTATGCAAACAAAGATGCAGTGGGCAGAGGGCCAGTTAATAAATCTCATTTCCTACTAGCATCTGCATGAAACACAGCTATAGGGAGTAGCCTCTCCAGGGACAGCCAGAGCCCGGCTCATTCGCTCTGTGAATTAAACACTATCACCTCAGATGGCCCACACCACATTTATTTTTTAAGCAGCTCTTAAAATATATGGAGTTCTAGTGCTCATAAATGCAATGAGGAAGCTGGGTCCAAGAAGGCAATCTCACAGTAGTGGACATGAACAGTAGAAACATCCACACAGCTCTGCTGAGCCATTTGCACTGGCTCCTTTTGACTGAAATTACTACTGGAGGGATAATTTCCTAAAGGTAACTTGCTTTTCTAATCAAAGTGTGCATGGGTTTCAATAACGGTGCACCTCTCTCTCTGGTCCAGGCTATAAAAATGGGCTCAGTTTACACAAAGAGATACCTGGAATTAAGATATCTGGGTCATGAACCATATTTGACCCTTATCTATAGACAATCTAGTGCAAATGTCATGACAAGAAGGCCCTTTGCTGGGAAGAGTGGCCACCTGACACACAACAGTGCTGTTCCCTAGGTGTCCTCTCCTCTCCTCACCTGCGCTACCTCTTGGCCTGGAGCTCCTGGAAGAGTCCACTTTCAGTAATAACCGCATTCTTCTTGTATCTATGTAGATCTTTTAAGAAAGTCTTTGTTTTAAATGTTTGAAGTTAACCTCACAGTGACTTTGTAAGACTACAATGAGATAATCTTACTTGTCATGAGCAACTGTAGAAAATAAGGTCAAAGGTAAAGGACCTGCTGGAAGCCTACCTGCAGGTCAGCAAAGGAATCAGGAAGAGAGTTCCCTCTGATCATCCCAGGGCTCTGGGCTGACCCAGATGCTCCACGGGATTCAAACTGAACTCTTCAGCACATGTCATTTTTGAGGGTTATAATGGACCCACCACCAAAGCAAAATTTATTTGGTTAAATCTCTCTATTTGGGCTTTCACAGTACCTTCCAAGTTTCCTCAGCAATTAAATGGCAGTATTATTCCAGCCTGGAACACTTCCTGGATAGAAACACGTATCACATTTTTCCTTCCCCTAATGCCCCTCCAAAAAAATAAGTGGTAGTTACACTATGCTGGCCATCCACTTTGAAAGCAAAGCAGACCAAGGAAAACATAAGGTGCGTCTGTCTCAGCGTACACCCTTTGTATAATATAATACCAATACAACTTTGGAGGATTCCTTCTTCATTTAACCTATGACACCTCTCACTATGGTGTCCAGTAATCCTATTACGTAAAATACAAATGCAATAATGCTCTTACTGACTTAAGAATTTCTCCAGTCAGTTCTTTTATTTAAATTCAGTTTTTTTCCCTTCGTATAATTTCAGGGCCTCAGAAAACAAACTGGAAATAATTTAGGAAATGAAAATAGATTGAACTGAAAAGGTAATTAAGCTTTTACTTTAAAGCAATATTTTATCACCAAAAGGTAGCATTTAACCTTACCAAGTCATTTTCCACTGCCATTTCAAGTTTGTTCATATGACTAATAAAACCCAATTAGGCAACTTCCTTTGGCCTATGTGGTAAAATTCGAACCCCGTCTTAAAAGCAACTGCTACTCACGTGGCAGAGATTAAATCACTGAAGACACAAGGTCTTCAAATTTATTACCTATAAGAACAGTGTAAATAAGTGAGGTTTAAAAACAATTCCGGGGTTTTGGTTTTTGTTTTTAAATTCTATTTCAGGCTTTGGAATGTTCACAGAGAAAGGTGGATGAGTAAGGGATAGAAGGGACCTAGTGTTCCAATCACAAGGATCTCCAAAAGAAGAATCCCAGACGTTGTGCACCAATTTTGGTTTATATTAAGAGAATAACAAGCGCTTGGACTCTGTAAGGATGCCATGTCAACGTATTAGTTGGAATCATAAGGCATGAGATTTTGGTGACCTCATGGGCACAGCCAAAATTAACTCCAAGTATTTATATAACTGCCAGAGACGACAGGGCAAAGGTTGCTTATAAATTTTTCTTTTTGAGTCAGCAAATAGGGTTTCTTTGGTCGAAGAGAGAGGAAGTGGGGTATTTTGGGTCCTGTTTTACAAATATATCATATTTACACACACTGAATATTCTACCCACAATACCAGCTGAACGTTTAGATGAAGGCATTTAAAAAAAAAAAAAAAAAAAGAGTTATTTCCTGTTGCTCACTAGCTGAGAGGATGCGCTTTAGAGGTATGTGTGCTCTGCCTGGAAGCAAAAGCATTGTTAGTGGTTATCAAGGTAACATTTAAAAATAACTACCCCAGTACAAAAGAACTTCAGAGGAAATATGAGGGAAGCTATCAGTCTCCCTTCAAGTCTGGCCTTGAGCTGCATTAGAATCTAGCTGCATTCTCCATTACATTGTTATCCTTATCAAACAATGCAAACAATTTTAATGAGCTTATCTACTAGAACATATTGCCAGATATGCTAATGTAAAAATGATGCCAACCATACAGACCGACTCATTAATCAAAAAGCTCACAATACAATGACCGAGATCAGTCCCATCCTCAAATCAGACCTCGGCAAAATAGCAGGAATTACCTTCCTACTGTTTAAAGAAGGGCGGGCTCCCCCACCCATGCGGAGGCTATAAACTCCTAAGAAAATGCATAACGGCACCGGGTTTTCCTCAGGTCCACTGCAGTCCAGTCTCTTTCTAATAAACCATGGGTTCTATAGAGAAAATTTTGGTGAATGTCTGACACTGTGACCTCTGCTGTCAATCCTTGCACCAATCAGCGAGCAGAATTCTTACAAAGCTCCATCAATCTGGCGGTTTAACATCACAGACTGCAGCTTAATCTAGAGGATTCCATCTTTCCTGCACACACACCAGGGCAAGCGCATTTTTCTCGCCATCCTCCTGTTCCCTGCCTTTAGGCACAGCCTATCCAATGGGTCCTTTAAAATCTAAAGGAAAGGAGGAAAGGAAGTGCTACTGCCTGTCTCCCTTTGGAGAGGGGAAAAGATTGCTTGCATTTTTATCAGTGTGGAAGGAAGGAGATGGAAGGAGACCCCTCGCAGGCAGCAAACCTATTCACAAAATGCTCTCTATCTGCATTCGTGAAGCCTCAATGCATAGCCAACATGACACATGGAAAGAGACAGCAAACGATCACAAGCGCCCTGGCGAACGCACGTCTGCAGCCGGGTCCGGGCGCAGTGTCCGCTCCATTATATAACGGGCCGGATTTCCGCGCGCCCCCGCCGAGCTCCCCCGCCCGGCGCCGCTCCCGGTGCCAGCCCCATTACCTGTAGGAACGCTCCCCGCGCACTGTGTGCTTCCGGAAAGGAATGATGGTCCCGTTATCCTGGATGATGTCGTTGTTGTTCTCGCCATTTGGGGACAGGGTTTGGGTCGGACCAGGCATTGGCGCACTCCCGAGGAAGGGAACAAACCGCGGCGGGCTGGCTGGTGAGGAAGGTGGCTGCGTCTCGTCTTCCCGCTCGCCTGCTCCTCGCGCAGACCGTGCCTGCCTGCCGCCTGCTCGCTGGCTCCCTTCTCCCCGCTCGGCTCCCGCCCCGCCCTCCTGCGTCCCGCCCTCCCGGCTGCTGACGTCAAAGCGCCGGCAGCAGCACCGGGTCACGTGGCCGGGCCCGTCACCATAGCAACCCGCTAACTCATCACCTCTCCTCAATTCGCACAGGGCCGAGGCGTGACCACGCGAGCAGCTCCAGGCAGGCACCGGGGCAGGCCTACATCTGGCATGTAAAACCCCAGGCCGCCCCCAGCCCCCCTCACAGACTCGCCTCGTCTGAAAACCAGCTCTTCCTCTAACCATTTCCTTTCCGACCCGCGCTCCGACTGCAGCTGTGTACACAAAAGAACGATTCAGGCAGAGGGGTGTGGGGGACCCTTTAACTCCTTCAACACCAAGTTCTTAGAGCATTCCAGTTAAACTCGGTCTGGTCGCAAAAAAACATACAAAGATCTGGTGGCCTGCTCCAGAAAATGTACCAGACTAAGGGGATTCAGACATCCAGCCTCCTCGCCGAAAGTAGCCCCAAACCTGAAAACCTAAGAGGAAGCTATATTTTCTTCTAATCAGTGCAGCCTTTACTTTAATAATGTGAAGATTGAAGATTGCAAATGAAGAGATTTTTCTGCAGAAAATAATCCTCAAAGGGTTTTTTTATTAAAAAAAAAAAAATAGCCGCCATTTTAGAACATGATGGTTACCCAAGGCTCCCCAATTCAAATTCTTAAACTGCCTCTTGATACAGATAATGAACTTGTCATTTATTTTATTTTCATTTGAATTAAACGAGTCAACACTCAAGTTAGTATTTGGAAGCTCTCAACATTCTGGCTCTTCTATATCATTGCAGTGTAGTTTTCAAATACACTGGCCACGAGACAGGTACGATTAGCATCATCCCTGTTTTAAAATGAGTAAACTGGTGAGATTAAGTAACTTGCTCAAGGTCACAGAGCTAGGAAGTGGTGAACTGGAACATCAAAATGACACGTTTTCAATGTGATTGGACAGTACTGATCTATATTTAATGTGAGCTCATAAATATAGATGAAAAATCAAGTACTTTATGTAGACTCTCAACATGACCACTGTGAAAAGAGCTGTGAACAGAATTGCTAGTACTAGGCAAAGTCGATGGATTAGATTATAAACTCTCAACAGACCCCAGATGCATCCATTACTTTCCTCCAGAGAGAAGAGAGTTTAAAGCATTCTCTGCTTATCAAAAGTGGTCTCCAACCTTTTGTGGGGTGAGAAAGGAAGAACTGGGGTATAAAGGACAGCATTCATATATGTAGCAGAAAATACAAGGCTATATGGCTCATCCCTTCACACCACTGTGTGGTTTATCCGCTTTATCATTTTGTGGTATAGATATTAAAAACAAGCAAACAAAAGCAACCCTGTCATTCCTGACAATTCTCCAGCCTATCTCCCTGGTAATAAGTTATTTCTGGCATCAAGCTTCTAGAATTAGAATCAAATAGTTCACAGCCCAGATGGTAATGATAATCTCAAACAAGGGGGCCTTTTTTCCCATTTTATATTCTTTTTTTAGGCATCTTAATTTTATTTTTCTGCCTTTCCAGTGGACTTCCAGTGTACAAGTTGATTTTTTTTATCCATATCTCAGCTTACATGAGATTTTTTTTTCCCCCTCATACAGTAAGGATCTACTTCGGACCTAAGACTTGCAAGACACACAGATAAATATAAGTAAAAGATACACTGCACACTGAACTAAAGAGGCTTGAGATGTAGTCATCACTATGAAGATCTACAGTTCCTCTTACTATTTCTGTTACTGGCCCCCATGGTTGTCAATTTCCTTACTAATTTGTTTCCTTTCACAAAAGCTTCCCCTTTCTTTGGGGATAGTCTGAAGGTAAAAAGCGCAGTCTACAAATCAAGTATTTGTTTTCAGAGTACATCCTCTCATTTTGGGTTCTTTAGTACCACTTACTTCTCCATGATCTCATATTTAAGTAATATATATGACATAACCAGTGTTATCATGGGGACTAGATTTGTCAAAATTTCAATGTATAGCTCATTGGCTATATCAGCTTATTTTGTGGAGATAATACTCCCACTGTTTCTATGATGCTCATGAAGGAGAGGACTATGGCCAAGAATTTGGGTTGAGGGGAGGGGTAGTGAGTCAGGTGAAAGAGGTATCTAAGAGTCCCTGTAAATCTTCCTCTGAGACTGCTGTGAGTCACGTTACTATCAAGGGACCCAGAGAGCTCGAGAGACCGGTGATTACCCTCTGAGACACTGGGGTAACCGGGGTAATAATTTGAAAATGCTAAACAGATGTGTTTTCATTCCTTTCCCCATAAATCAAGTAGGCTGGCAACCATTCTCCTGTTTAGCCCTAGGGAAAAGGAGAGGGCAAATTTCACTTTGGGAAGGAGGATGTAGGATACAGGGAAAGTGCAGAAAAGGCAGGAAGGTGGAGGAAAGAGTACTCCTTCCAAATCCAATTGAGTATAGGAAGGAGATGAAAGGTGGAAAAAAGCAGGTCCCCAAAGAGAGATATTAGAGAGGTTTGGCTTTGTTCTCAGCCTTGGGGCCTTACTTTGACCCCCTTTCCCATTTGAGACTTTGAGAAATAACCACCTCAAGGAGTATCTCCCCACCACCTCCCTCCCCAACTGGGCAAGGTAAGCCCCAGCACAATAAAGACTAAAATCAGTGGCTTGGTATGGCTAGGCAGAAGGGTTAGGGAGAGGGAAGGATGTCTAAAAAATTGAACAATCACCCAAGACCTGGAGCTATTCAAAGACAGTTGAAATTGCAAGAGGCTATAATTCTAAGAATTGGCTAGTTTAAAACCATTTGTTTCCCCACCTCTCAGCAGGGTGAGGACAGTCACATAGATCAATTATAGAAAAAATAACTATGCTAAAGCAGCTACGAACATCTGATTCTGGATTAAGGTTTTGTCTTACGTACATAGGTGTTTCTAAAATAAATTATATGCAGACCATACATCTCCAACTGCCCTGGGAGAAATGGCTCCTCTCATCAAGCATGATTAAAATTGGGGCTCTGGAGCCAGGCAGACCGGGGTCCCCTGCTTGGTTTCACTACATGCCGGCTGTGTGACCTCAGCAAGTTGCTTTGCATCTTCAAGATTCGGTTTCTTCATTTTCCTCACCTTCTAGTAGGTGTAATGGTACTGATTTCATACGGTTGCTGTGGAGATTAATTTACAGAATATATTTAAGGCAGTTAACATAGTGTCTGGCATATGACAAATGCTCTGTAGTAGTAAATGTTATTTTAAAACAACATGTAAGGCATACTCTTGTGTATTAGGAGCTGGTACGATAAGAAGAGAAGTCCCAGGCTTGGTCCTCGAAGAACTCGTAGGGTTGTAGTGAGCAAGATAAAAATACCAGCAATTATGATACGACGTAATGCTGTAATAATAGCACCACATAGGGTGATAGAGGCCTACAGAAGATGAGCACCTAATTCAGAAAGGAAATTAGGAAGTGCGTCTGAAAAGTTCCCCGAGGAAATATCACCTAAGCCTAATGAGTAATAATTATAACCTTCTTTTTTCACTTCCTGTGTGCAAGATAGAATATAAGATCCTTTAGGGTAGGAACTCCAACTGTTTTGTTCGCTGCTATCTCTGCAGCTCCTAGAATGGAGCCCGGCAGCCAGTAGGCACTAAATGAATACATAATTCTTTCAGTTATTCAATAAATACCTAATTTGATTCTCACAAAAACCCTAATGACAAAATTGAGGCAAAAAGAAGAAAAGCAACTTGTCCAGTATTGGACATCAGGTTTTCTTGGCCCCAAAGTTCTGATGCTCATCCATTAGGCTGTGCGGCATTTAAAATAGAAATGGTAGTGTAGGGGGAAGATGAAGGATTTCTCAAGCAGATACACTTAGGTACAGAGATAGGAAAGGATGTGAGGTCTCTGGGAAACAGCAATTTGTTTAGTATGGACCAAGAGCAGGTTACACAGGAGATAGGGCAAGGACCAGGTACAGAACAGTGCCATGGCCCAGCTAAGGAGCTTGACCTTAATTCTGAAGGTGTTTCAGAACCATGAAGTGCGGGGCGCCTGGGTGGCTCAGTCCTTAAACGGCTGCCTTCGGCTCAGGTCATGATCCCGGGGTCCTGAGATCAAGCCCCACATCAGGCTCCCTGCTCCGCGGGAAGCCTGCTTCTCCCTCTCCCGCTCCCCCTGCTTGTGTTCTCTCACTGTCAAAAAAATAAATATTAAAAAAAAAAAAAAACCATGAAGTGCTTTAGGGAGAGAAATTAATGGTGAAATTTGCACATCCCTTGTGCAAATGAAGTGAATGGACCCTTCTTCTGAGCTCCCATTCTAGTGGGGCCACGACCCCCCCCCATTGCTAAAACAAATATTTAAAATGCACGCTTAGACAAAGGTCTGACGCCAGACAAAGGTCTGACGCCAGTAGTGTGAAGAATGTATCAGAGAAGACTAAAATGAGTCAGTGATGAAGGCCTAAATTCAAACAGTGGCCAAGGGGCTGTAGAAGAAAGCAGATCTAAGCTCTTCAGAGGATCTCTAATGGTTAGAATTTTTTGACTAACTGGATGTGGGCACCATCACTGATGGAGGTTGTAGGTGGGTAGTGAAGGAGAAAGACATTTCAGGTGAATCCCAAGTTTACGGCTTGGGTAACCAAGTGGATATGATATCATTTATCAAGCTAGGAAGTACAGATTGAATTGCCCTTCTGGAAGAAAGGTTCTCAATGTGTTTGGACATACAGAAGTACTTCTAGGACATCTGAGTGGTGAGAATGAGCAGTTACTGGGCTTCACACATAGCGGGTGTTCATTAAATATTTGTTAACTAAGGGAATATGCGGGTCCTTGAGTTTATTTGGTATTTTTGACTTGGAGATACATTGGATTTGGAGGAAATTATCTCATAGGTGATAATTGAAGCAGTGGATGTTGGTTTCCTCAGAAAGAGAAGGCTTGGCATGGAACTCTTTAGAAGCCCATGGATACAAGATAAGCCTGCAAAGGAAGACTGAGGAGGATTTT